TTAGTCAACAATATTTCAGTACCGAGGGGTATGTCATCACTTAGGCTGTTTTTACAAGTGCAGGTAAATGCAGATCAGTATGGTGTTCCAAGAGACAACAGTACTGCGTAAATTATATCTACACAAATTCTCGGACAGGATTGTAAGTCGGTGTTCACCAGTACGAGCAGAGGGCTGGTCTTCACAGCATCACTGGAGAGGGCGATCTGTCTCATGGAGGGGCGGGCAGCCACCGCCACCAGTCTAAGACAGTCCACTCAGCAGAACCAGGACTTGTCTGTAAACACTTCTACATCTGGCAAGATCACAGGTCGAAAGATTTAATGGCATCACACACCAGCACTGTAGCTGAAGCCAGCGACTTGCCAAAGAAGCGACACAAGAAGAAAATATTGAAGCCACTCTCGCCCTCTCCCTGAATCATCTCAAATCTCGCATACACGTCACACAACGAGAAGCATTCGACGAAAATTGGACACACCTGAAACAACGGGGTAGCGTCACACTACGCCACTATGACGCTGTAACCGGTGACTCCAACCGCCACTGCAAAGAGTATCAATCCCTGACTCGATCTCAACAGATTATGTACACGAGACTGCGCCTAGGCAGGTTTCTATGGGCGTACATTGGCAACCCTGAGCCTGGCCGCACTGTTTGTAAACTTTGTGGCCAACCCGACTCTCACACCCTCTCTCACTACATCCTCACTTTCCGTATGACCTCCTCCTACAGGTCCCCAGCCGTTACCAACACCTCTTCCCTCTCTGACCAGATATCCCTCCTCCTAGTGACAGGCCTGGCACTTGACATTATTAGGAACCTGCCGCGCTTTGCCATACACAGATGAAATGTACCGGGAAATTTCCCCCCACACACTCATCATTCTGTCACTTTATGTAACTTGCTGACAAAACCTATGACCCTTCAGGCTTTTACGCCCTTAATGCACGAGTCATAAAGGCAAGCATGAACTTAGCATGCTTCCCAGATGGGCACTGTAAACGCTTCTGCGCTTCACCTTGCACAGGATGTAAGGGAAGGGGGTGCCCAATAAACTAGATCCCTCGTGGACAATCTAAAAAAAAAATTATGTAGCCAGCGGTGATAACAAAACCATACACTCAGAAGAATCAGGGCCTCTTGTCTGTAAGCACCGCCCCAGCCGCCACATCTGGGGAGGTCTCAGGTCGCGTGGGGAGGGGGGTGTACGTCCTCCCAGTGTGTTGATGTTGTCGTCCACACCTTCCCTGGTCGTAAATCCACCCAACTGCGGTATATGCTCAAACTTAACTGCCTTGAGCAGATTGATGATGTCGCCTCTTCTCTTACGACCTCCCTCCTTCCTATCCTCGTCTACTGTGATGGGTCTGTCACCACGCTGGGCTGTGCTGGGGCAGCTGTATGGATTCCTGAGCGTTAGGCCCGCAAGAAAATCAGGGTCCACGACTGGGCCTCCTCCACTGACACTGAAAGCATAGCCATCCTCGCGGGCATTCATGAGGGGGCGACCTATGCTCGCACTGAACGCCGGAACCTCCTTATAATCAGTGACAGCACTTCTGCGCTAGCAAGGCTCAAATTACCCTCCCCCTCCTCCCGTGCCGCCCAACACACCCTAGCCGCCGTCGCCGGGCTAGAACAAACTGATGACATCCGTGTCAAGTTTATTTGGATCCCGTCACATATAGGAATAACTGCCTGTGACACTGTTGATCGACTTGCCAAAGAAGCAACACAAGAAGAAGATATTGAAGCCACTCTCGCCCTCTCCCTGAATCATCTCAAATCTCGCATACACGCCACACAACGAGAAGCATTCGATGTAAAATGGACACACCTGAAACAACGGGGCAGCGTCACACTATGCCACTATGACGCTGTAACCGGTGACTCCAACCGCCACTACAAAGAGTATCAATCTCTGACTCGATCTCAACAGATTATATACATGAGACTGCGCCTAAGGTACAGGTACCTATGGGAGTACATTGGCAACCCTGAGCCTGGCCACACTGTTTGTAAACTTTGTGGCCAACCCGACTCTCACACCCTCCGTCACTACATCCTCACTTGTCCTATGACTTCCTACAGGTCCCCAGCCGTTACCAACACCCCTTCCCTCCCTGACCAGATATCCCTCCTCCTAGTGACAGGCCTGGCACTTGACATTATTAGGGACCTGCCGCGCTTTGCTATAAACAGATGAAATGTACCGGGAATTTCCCCCCACACACTCATCATTCTGTCACTTTATGCAACTTGCTGACAAAACCCATGACCCTTCAGGCTTCCACGCCCTTAATACATAGTAATAAAGGTAAGCATGAACTCCGCATGCTTCCCAGATGGGCGCTGTAAACGCTTCTGCGCTTCACCTTGCACAGGATGTAAGGGGGTGCCCAATAAACTAGCCCCCTCCGGGGCAGTCTGTAAATCTGTCGCAGGCTGAGGGATTTAATGTTTGTTCAGGTAAGGCAACGCCAGCACTGTAGTTGAAGCCAGCGGCGATAAAAGTACCTGTTCGTCACGTCTGGTGATGCTATAATTTTATTCCCCGAAATGTTTATCAGGTGGGCGACACGTGGACTAAGCTCAAACAAAGTAAACGTGAGAGTTTAAGAGTCACTGTTGAACCCAAGACACGCACTGCTATTTTGAGTCGTGATAACATAGTTTTATTTATTTAACGACGTTTGGTATGTGTGTGTGTGTGTGTGTGTGTGTGTGTGTGTGTGTGTGTGTGAATAGTCGTTACCCAAGACATCATCACCGACACCAGCCCAGGGGTTGGTCGTCACGGTGACTAGTGAAAAGAGCCCCAGTATTCAGTGACTGTAATTAGAACTGCGTGCCCTGAGAGACCTGCAACCGGTCCTCACTACCAAAATTACCACTATGACCGCCTCTCCCAGCTCTTGTTTCGTCTACTCCTACTGGAAAGCAACGCTTACACTAAAATAACCCTAATTACTTTCATGTTAGTAATGCAGGTAAATGGTAGTGAGGTGGAGAAGGCGGCAGAAGACCTCATACGTAGTTACTAAAGGGAACCTCTGTGTAGGTTCTCGGAGTACTGCCACGGGAAAAACCTCATCCATAATGGAGAACAGTATAGTGTGGTTGACCCTATTTGAAGATATAATTACTTTAAGTATGACCTTGACGAATACTCCCCGCCTGTGCAGTATATATATTGAGATCTTAAATTGGTTCTAAAACACAAACACTTCAGTTCTGCAGTTATGCGTGACACCTCGATTTACCCACTGATTTTTTAGTCTTTTTTCTTTTGTTTTACAACGTCAACATTAGGGGAATGAGAAGTTGTTTTGTCGATGGGTGAAGTGTGGACTTATCTTGTCCCTCTGATATTGCCGCTCTGTGGTGTCATTGTTGTCACATTACTTCATCATATATTCCTTTCACACTCTTAAAGGCCTCGATCATATACCCAGGTATTCTCTGATGGTCTTCATAACTCAAATTCTTCAGCCCAAGTAGATACTTATTTTGTTGTCCGTTGCAAAATACTTTCGATTACATTGAAGTCTTTTATCTTATGGGGGTGCCACACTGTACCGATGTCCCTTTAAATGTGGACGAACTAAGATCTTAAACAACTACCTCAAGTTATCTTCACGTAAGTAAACGAGTGATGATGACCAGACTCGCCACCCGCGTTCATCTTGTAACCTTTGTTGTTCATGTATTCTCCATAGGGCAAAACATCAGGGAACAAAGATGGGTGATATACAAATATGGACAAACTATATGTTGTTTGTAATAATAATAATAATAATAATAATAATAATAACAATAATAATAACAATAGTAGCTAGGATTTCATCTTAAATTGTGTTATGTGTGTAATTCTCTGCGACAGTCAGCAGGGAATATACTACAAAACGCCTACAATATGTAATGATCTTGACCTATACGTATACAGTACTGCAAAGTTGTCGTATACAGTCGGTAACTGACGAAGATGACTGACCAAGTCTTTTAGAAATGTTACATTTCTAAAGTACACAATAGTTGATTGGTCTGAACTATACGGCACTCAACGTACACTCGTTCTTAACCATTGACTATTATAAAAAATCAATATAAACTACAAAGGTTCAGTGTTGCCAGTCAGCGTCGCGACAGTCAACCTCTCGTTTATGGTCCTCGTACGACTTCTTGCTTTAATGATGATGTTCACTTGTGTCTTATAATTATTCATTAATGATGACTTATTAATCAGCTGTTACACTAGTCAGTGACCCTGCTGTCTGCTGGGTCCTCAACACCAGGTGTCAGCAAGTGTGTCATTCACATCGCTGGTACTGACACTTTGAAACGACCTCTGTAACACGAGGTATAATTTACAAACAACTACTGTACAATAACGTTCGTCTCAACAGGCGAAGTGTTTGTGTATGAGGAATACGCACCAATGCCAAGGTCGACGAAGAACCAGGAAAAAAGATTTGTTGGGAGTAAGTCATTATTATGGGCACGAGTTCATTCGACGTTGGCGAAAACGAAAATAGGAAAATAACCGATGACTTACAATAAACAGTATATATACTGTATAAAAGGCGTCCCTGTAAGATCAATAGAGCCTCAGAAATCTGCTGGTCACAGGAGACACTGGGAAAAAGCTCCTGTAATGCGGGAGTCGTCATTCACTGGTTGCAATACTGAACAAAGTAATGATATAGCGAACATATCTCCTACGTGACTCAACACTTTTATCGTCTCATAAAGACTTGTAATTCCAGCTAGAAGGTAATATGTCTTCTTTTTAATAATATCTTTTGACATTAACAGTGCACAGTAACCTCCAATACGCGAGTTAGTACTTTTGACGACAAAAAATTCCCCTTACATTGCATTGAATATGAAAATAAGCCAAATTAAAAATACACAGGTAAGATGGGTGCAAGGTGTTATAGGGTGGGATCATATGCCTCACCCAACCCCATCAGGAGGACGAGACCGTCATTACTCACCATGCTGCTCATGTTGGCTGATGAGGTCTTCACTCTTCCATAGTCGTCCTCATACTTGCTGAACAACATTTCCATGACAGTTTGGAAAGGTGAAATAGTTCTTAAAATTCTAAACTGTTATTCACGGGTTTCAAAGGATTTTAAGTGTGTTTACAATAGTTATCACCGCGTCAACGTTATTAGGTCACAGTCAAAGTATATAAGTTGAACTCTCAGTTAAAATATCAACTTTAATGGCCAATATTGTGGCGGGAGGGGCGCAACACTCTTCACCTGTCCATGGTTGGTGGCAGACTGCGAGTCTGAGACAGGCAGAGCGTGCCGCGAGGTTGTCTGCACTACCAACAAAGCGCTGAACAGTGGCGCAACCTTCGTAGCGAAATACAGAACTGCAACGAGCATGTATAGAACAAGTAAAGTGTTCTACGTAGTGTAGGACGATCCTTACGTGTTAAAGTATGCAGGCAGTATCTTATCATCCTATTGCAATGTAACATTAATAAATTAAGTTCTAGAAAAACTAAACAATACATACTGTCGCTTACAGCATCAAATTATATTGTCGTAATGAAAATAATATTCATTTTATCTATTTTGATGTCCTTAGACAAGTCACATAAGATCTGTGATATGTTCTGAGCGTCAATGTATAAAGAGCAATGTCAATAGCAGAGACGGACATTCCTGTGACGTCATTACTGTAACGTCATTGGTGGAATGCGTTACGGGCTCGGGTCCTTATAACTCCTCAGTGATATGGAGTGACGTTACACCACCACCTGATGACCCGAGTGATGATGACGGCATTAATGAGGACTTGCGTGTGTGAAGAATTGCGTGCTTGTTTATGTGTGTATGCATAATGTGTGTGTGTGGGTGTGTGTATGTGCCGGCGGGGTGGACATGCAGTACCGGATGAAGGATCTTTTCAACATAAGACGACTCCAGGCAAGAACAAAGTTATCCACAGCTTCCACCGAACGCAACCTACAGGAGCTCCTGAACATCTACGCAGATGCTTATGCACACTTCGGTCTTAAGGTGGATGTACTTAAGACTCAGATTCTCTTTCACCCTGCCTCTGGTTCAGCCACACCTCCACCATCCATCCAGCTTAACGGTACTACCCTCTCTAATGTTGCCCACTGTCAGTATCTCGGCTCCCACCTGTCCACCACCGCAGACATCGATGAAGAGATTCAACATCGGATCAGAAGTGCATCTCAAGCCCTTGGCAGACTCCAAAACCGTGTCTTCAGCTGTAGGGAACTGAAATTATCAACAAAGCTGCACGTATATCGTGCAGTGGTCCTCCCCACCCTGCTTTATGGCAGCAAGACATGGGTCACATACAGGAGGCACCTCAAGGCATTTGAAAACTTTCACCAACGTAGTCTATGTTCCATCCTCCAAGTTCGCTGGGAAGACAAGAGAACAAATGCCATTATTCTTGCTGACACCAACTGTAGGATCATCGAGGCTACCATTATCCATGAACAACTACGCTGGACTGGCCATGTTACCCGTATAGACGACAGTAGACTACCAAAGCAGCTACTTTACAGTCACCTAGCGAATAGTAAACGTAGCGCTGGCGGGAAACTGAACAGGTATAAGGATAGTCTTAAGACAAACCTGAAAAAATGCTAAATCGACCCCCTCACCTGAGACACGATTACTTCACTCCGTAATGCTTGGAGAAGCACCACGCGAGGTGTCAATACTTTCGAGTTAGCCCGTCTGCATACCGAGGCAGACAAGCGCCAACGTCGGAAAGACCCTGCCGCCGCCCCTCCCGCACTAGATGTAGCCCTCCACATGTGCAACATCTGTGAACGACCCTGTCGGTTCCGTATCGGCCTCTCTCGTCACCTCAGAGCTTACCAACGAAGGTGACATCCTTAATAACTCATATCATTGTATCATAGCTGGATGATCGTCATACTCGATTCCGAGTGACAGCAAAGTAGTAGTAGTGTGTGTGAACTGAGTTTGTCTCTTTCTAGAATACCAAAACACTGTAAATTTCAAGGTTTAGTATTTCCTATATATTAGGAGCCAGTGGTGGACAGAGGGATACAACAACGGCTGAGTTGTAATGACAGTATGTTATGGGGTGTGAGGGTGGACATACTACATCCTTAGACTGAGTACACACACACACACGCGCACACCACAACGACCATCACCACTACGAACACTAATATGATCACCACCACTACACTTGCTGGGTACATTAGAGGTAAACTACACCCAGAACACCACCACGGCACATAAAACTAACAACACCAAAACACTTCCTGAATACACCAGCTGGTAACCACAATACCTGTACTGACACTCACCTGCGATCACGGTAGTCACAACAACATTTAGGACACGTGAGATATCGACATTCTTCGCCTCTCTGGGTTATTCATAGTATACATCACCACAACTCTTATCTCCTAACTTGTGCCAGTCATGGGAATACTGATAGTGGTGGCATGACGCACTATCAACTCACGCACCTCAACACCATACTCCCGCCATCACCACCCCAGCCACGACATAATGTGATTTTGTTGAAGAATGTGAACGTTACTTTCACTATTACATTCTTCATCTAAATCGATTAACATATACTAAGTTGGCTGAGGCGTGATAAAGTTCGGAACTGTTAATGTAGACGAAAGACAGTCCTACCTTATTATTCTCATTACCATTGAAACTGTCGGTATAGTGAGCTGCACGGAAATGAGATTGTGAAATAATTATAAACATTAAAATAGACTCCCAAAAGGTATGATTTTCCTTTTCCGAGGAGATAAGAGTAACACACACACACACACACACACACACACACACACACACACCTTATCTTACACGTTACATAAGACAAGGCTGCTAATTGACAGAAGATAAGACTCACCTATACATGCTCGTGCCACTTGACAAACTGCAGGTCACACGTGGATTATAACACACCTTTCGAGTGGGAGGCAGAATACGCTCACCTGACACGAGGCACCAGGAATAAATGCAGAGAAACGGGAAGAGGAGGGAAGGAAGACGAGGAGATACAGGAAGAAGAGGGGGAGGAAGAGGAGGAGAAACAGGAAGAAGAGGGGGAGGAGGAGGAGAAGAAACAGGAGGAGAAGAAGAATGTTGAGTGACGATTGAACCAGTGCATTGGTGACAGGCACAAAAACAAGGAGTTGATAAGATTGGTTTACCTTCGGTACATCATCGATTGAGGAAATTGTTCAGACGAGAGGGTTTGGAGACAGTGGGGAGGAGGAGGAGGAGGGAGGCTAGCAATACGTTCGTGTTTTGGATCAAGTTCTCGTCACATCTTTCAAGTAAAGCAAAGTTGGCCACAGTGAAAGGGTGTACACTCCTCCCAACCTAAATAATAGGCATTCCGTCAACCTAAATTGGAGGATTCCCTGCAGCTTTAATTATAGGGCTTCAATGCAACGTAAATTAGAGTCCTTCCCGTGAATTATAGATGACCACACTGAGAACACAGCTTAACCTCTTACTCACTGGAGCTGAAGCTAATAGAAGCATTACACTGTTTACTGATCCTATATTCGACGTACACAAAGTTATCTCATACTTAACGATATATTGAAAACAATCGCCTTCATATCTCCGTGGGAATATGTAGTAAAATGTGAATAATAATGGTTAGGTTCCACAGTATTCACGGCACAGGTGTGTAGAATGTGTGTGTGTGTGTGTGTGTGTGTGTGTGTATAAGAAGACCAAGACACAATATTCTGCCCTTTACAGTATATCTCACTGTACGTCAGAGAAAGCCACGTAAAATGCAAAGTAGTTTTCTTGCACCGGAACATAATTTAGCCTGGGACACGGGTGGCACTCCATTAGTTTCCCTCACTGAGTATTATGGATTCATTTGGCTGAACGGAGTGTGACAAAGAAAACATGGAGTGAAAATGAATGAAAATGATATATATCTCTCAATGATAGAGACGTTAGATCCACAAGAGCGTGGGCTAATATTGAGAAGTTTATGAAAAAAATGCATAAGTATCGCCTTATAATTTTAGTTTTCTATAGGCAACTTTTTTGACTTAGGGCTTACCATTTTCTGTACTTATTGACCCCCCCTCCCCCTCCCTATCCTGGACCTGTATACTGTACTGCTCGTTGGTGACTGGTGAGCCCCGCTCTCTCCCAGTCTTCTGCACACGTCCTTGGTAATAATTCCTCTTCTATCACATTTACTCAGTTAAGGCTGTTGAGGTATGTTTTATCCCAGTTGTTATATTTACCTAAAAATAGTAAGCAGCCATAAGTTTATTGGTGAATTGTAAACAAGCATGTGTTGCTCTGTTGGTTATTCGCAAGTATTGAATTCCGTTTGTATTTTATCAGAAGTTGGTGGTGCTTAAAATCATGTGGTGGTAACAGGTGGTTATGGTAAAGTTGTATTTATGATGATATTGATTTGTTTCTTAATAATCATGTGTTTATGATCATGATGTGTTTACTATAATGTTGTGGTGTTTGTTAATATTTACTTAATAATTATGTGGTGGTGTTTATGATCATGTAGTGGTGTTTATGATCATGTTGTGATCATTGATGTTTGTTAATAATCATGTGGTGTTTATGATCATGTGATGTTTGTTAATGATATGGTGGTGTTTATGATCATGTATGATTGTAGTCACTTGTAGTGTTTATGAACTTTACGATCATATGTTTGTTATTGATCATGTGGTTGTGATTATCATGATGTTGTGGTGTTCATGAGCACGTGGTGATGTTTATCTTACCTTACACGTGCCTTATGTTTTGTTCATAGATTTGTGTTGTCCACTGCACATCAAATAATTCGCAATGAGTGCAAAGAAGCGGAAGTATCTTGACGAATATATTCGATTTGGATTCGTGTCTCTCCAAAAGGGTGACACAGAGGTCCCCCAGTGTGTGATATGTTACAAGACTCTGAGCAATGATGGAATGCGGCCCTCAGAGCTTGGAACGCCACTTGAGAACAACACATCCTGCTCTAGCTGACAAGCCCAAGGCATTCTTTGAAACAAAAAGACACTCCTTGAAGCAAGTTAAGTTGGACGGCAGTGGGGCATTTCGGCAACAAACTTCAAAGGTTGTTGAGGCTTCCTATGAGATCGCCATGTTGATTGCAAAGAGCAAGAAGAGCCATAACATCGGAGAGTTTCTCATAAAACCAAGCATACTCCGTGCAGCAGATCTCGTTCTGGGGAAAGACAGTGCAAACAAGCTTTCCCAAATTTCACTATCAAACGATACAGTCAAGGGAAGGATCGAT